GTTTCGTCATAAAAAGATGGCGGCGCCCAGTTGACGCCGGTACCGGGCCGCGGCGCCCAGCTGATGTCGGAACCGGGCCGCGGCGTCGAAAAGGTTGGGGATCCCTGGTCTAAGGGATATTGATATTGCTATAAACAGAGGGAAAACCCCACTCCCTTCTAGCACTGATGATATTACCTCATTGGATCATGAAATGTCTGCAAGAAAACCACCCAGCTCAGAGAGCACCAAGGACCCCACAATAATCCTCCTCTTCCTCACCTCCTCCTGATCTCCACTCCCTTCTAGCACTGATGATGTTACCTAGTCGGGTCATGAAACGTCTGCAAAAAAAACCACCCAGCTCAGAGAGCACCAAGGACCTCCCAGTTCAATCCTGAACTACAAATATTCTCTTCTAACAATGCCCAAATTTTCCGGAAAACGTCTTTAATTCCCTAGCTCTGAGGATCAGCCCTTGGTACCCACTGAGTGAAGGTAGCAACTTCCGATTTGGGCAGCTGGCTCCTTGGAAAGGCAGAGCCTTAGTGTGTGCGTGGTGTGTGTTTGTGTGTACATATGGACAATATTTGCCCACACACTTAGGTTTCCTTTTTAAAACCCCTTTCGGTCACCATCCCAGTCCTAAAATCATCTTGGATTTTTTTTTAACACAACAAGGGGATTAGCACGGTTCTTTAAAAACAGATGTTTGTTAGCCACTCGTTGCTGTTGTTGTTTTCCAAGGATTGCTTTGATCTCCGTTGTTCACTTTTGTGTGTGTCCCAGGCTGTATTCTTCAGCTGTGTTCAGCGATTTTGAGCCATTCTCTGCTCCCGAGATCACCAGGCGGCCTGTGGACGATTTAATCCTGCAAATGAAAGCGTTGAACATCGAGAAGGTGGGAGTCCCGTATTTTTAGGCGCTTCCTTGATAGGTGTTCCTCAACTTACAACCGTTCATTCGTTTTGAAGTTACAACGTCCCTGGGGGGGGGGCAGGGAAAGGGGAATTTGTGACTGTCCTCACACTTACAACCATTGCAGCATCCCTGTGGTCATGGGATCAAAACAGGGTAGTTCCTGTTTGCCAGCTTTTCCAGAACTGAAAGCCGATAGGAGAAGCTGGATTTACTTGAGGGGCTTCCCCAAAAAAAAAGGAAGCACCAGAAAGGCAGGACAAGAAGCAATGGGTGGAAACTAACCAAGGAGAGAAGCAACCTGGAATTAAGGAGAAACTTCCTAACAGGGAGGACAGTGAACCAGTGGAACAGCTTGCCACCAGAAGTTGTAGATCCTTCATCACTGAAGGAGGTTTTTAAGAAGAGACTGGACAGCCACTTGTCTGAAATGGGATATAAGGGTCTTCTGCTTGGGTCCCTTCCAACTCTGTTCTATTCTGTTCTGATTTGCTTAACAACCATGGCAAAAAAATGGTCATAAAATCAAGGATGGCTCACTTAAACGATTACCTCGCTTAGCGATGTTGATTCCAGTCCCAGTTGTGGTCATAAGGTCAAGGACTACCTGCATTCAGTTTGGTCAATCTCCTTCCTAGCTTTTGTTTGTTCTTTTTTTCATTTTTCTTCACTAGGGAGCCCCTCTTCCTTCCATCCCCCAAGGTCCTTCCCTCCTACCATCCCAGGACTCCACCGCACGGTATCTCTCCATCTCCTCAGTCGTCTCTTTCCTCTCTGCAGGTAATCAACTTCCCATTTCCTACCCCTCCGTCCTCCGATGCCCTGAAGGCCGCGGAGGAATTGCTGATCGCCCTCGGTGCCTTGAAGCCTCCCGCCACGTCTGGAAGGTACGAAAGACGGAAAGGGACTAGAACCGGGATGGCAAACCTACGGCTCGCATGCTGGAAATGGCGAACCTAGGGCTTGCCAGCCGTTGCTCTTTGCGCGTGCATGCTTGCCAGAAACTGGAAGACCGACCAGGTGGCCGGTGTGCATGCAGAAACTGGAAGTTCAGCTTCCCAGTATCCTTCCAGTTTCTGGTGGTCCCTCCCCAGTGTGCGCACTCGTTGCCCAAAAGATTCGCCAACACTGAACTAGAAGAACTTAGAACAAATGCAGTTGGGTACAATTCTGAATCTACCTTTGCATAACGCAGCATCCGATCCGTTGGAGACGTCCCTCTCGGACGTGTCCTGGTGTGGGAGTAGCTGACCTTAGATAGATTAACAGCGTCGGAAGGGACTTTGTAGGTCATCTAGTCCAACATGTACACACACCTGCCCAAGCAGGAGACCCTACACCATTTCTGACAGATGGCAGTTGAAATTTCTTGTTGAATCAATATCAGGATATGGGCTGCCTGGGTTGCCCGCTAACCACGCTGGATGAAATCGCCAGGTCCCGCTGTCCCAGCAGAGTGAGGAGGGATCCTGAGGGATGATTCACACCCTGGACATCATTTCTTTATTCTCCTCCCATCGGGCAGGAGATACAGAAGCATAGCTAGCCAGACAAATAGGCTGCCAAATGGCTTTTATCCGTGGGCTGTTAGACTTTTAAACGAAACACAACACCACAATCAGATTTAATAGGACAGACTTACAGTGCCAATGTAACAGGTAATATGTCTATACCGATGTAGTATTTTTGTATGTATGTATGTGGAAATGTGTGGCCTAGTTCTTTTACTTACTTGGGTTTAGGAATTTTCTTTTAGAATAGAACAGAACAGAATAGAATAGAATAGAATTCTTGATTGGCCAAGTGTGCTTGGACACACAAGGAAATTGTCTTGGTGCAAATGCTCTCAGAGTACATAAAAGAAAAGATAAATTCGTCAAGAGTTAAGAATAGAATTGAATTGAAAGAATAGAATAGAATAGAATAGAATAGAATAGAATAGAATTCTTGATTGGCCAAGTGTGATTGGACACACAAGGAATTTGTCTTGGTGCAAATGCTCTCTGTGTACATAAAAGAAAAGATAAATTCGTCAAGAGTTAAGAATAGAATTGAATTGAAAGAATAGAATAGAATAGAATAGAATAGAATAGAATGGAATGGAATTAGAATAGAGGATAGGATAGAATAGAATAGAATAGAATAGAATAGAATTCTTGATTGGCCAAGTGTGATTGGACACACAAGGAATTTGTCTTGGTGCAAATGCTCTCAGTGTACATAAAAGAAAAGATACATTCGTCAAGAGTTAAGAATAGAATAGAATAGAATAGAATAGAGTAGAAAATATGGAATGGAATTAGAATAGAATAGAGAATAGAATAGAATAGAATAGAATAGAATAGAATAGAATAGAATAGAATAGAATAGAATAGAATTCTTGATTGGCCAAGTGTGATTGGACACACAAGGAAATTGTCTTGGTGCAAATGCTCTCTGTGTACATAAAAGAAAAGATACATTCGTCAAGAGTTAAGAATAGAATAGAATAGAATAGAATAGAATAGAATAGAATAGAAAATATGGAATGGAATTAGAATAGAATAGAGAATAGGATAGGATAGAATAGAATAGAATAGAATAGAATAGAATAGAATAGAATAGAATAGAATAGAATAGAATAGAATAGAATTCTTGATTGGCCAACTGTGATTGGACACACAAGGAATTTGTCTTGGTGCAAATGCTCTCAGTGTACATAAAAGAAAAGATACATTCGTCAAGAGTTAAGAATAGAATTGAATTGAAATAGAATAGAATAGAATAGAATAGAATAGAATAGAATAGAATAGAATAGAATAGAAAATATGGAATGGAATTAGAATAGAATATAGAATAGAATAGAATAGAATAGAATAGAATAGAATAGAATAGAATAGAATAGAATAGAATTCTTGATTGGCCAAGTGTGATTGGACACACAAGGAATTTGCCTTGGTGCAAATGCTCTCAGTGTACATAAAAGAAAAGGTACATTCGTCAAGAGTCAAGAATCATAAAGTACAACATTTAATGATAGTCATGGGGTACAATAAACAATCAAATCATACTATGAGACAGTCAATATAAATCGTAAGGATACTAGTGACAAAGATACAGTCATACAGTCACAAGTGGGAGGGGATGGATGATAAGGAGTGATGAGAAGATTAATACAATAGTAGCACAGACTTTGTAAATAGTTGGACAGTGTTGGGGGAATTAGTTGTTTAGCAGAGTGATGGCATTCGGGGAAATAACTCCCCTTGTGTCTAGTTGTTCTGGTGTGCAATGCTCTAGCATCGTTTTGAGGGAAAGAGTTGAAACAATTTATGTCCGGGATGTGAGGGGTCTGTAAATATTTTCACAGCCCTCTTTTTGACTTGTGCAGCATACAGGTCCTCAATGGAAGGCAGGTTGATAGTCCTCAATGGAAGGTAGATTGATAGTAATTGTTTTTTTCTGCAGTCCTAATTATCCCTTGAAGTCTGTGTGTCTCATTATTGAGATGTATTCTGTATTTTGTGTGGGCTGCACCAATGGCAAAGGTAAAGGTTCCTGTTGCACATACGTGCTAGTCGTTTCTGGCTCTAGGGGCCGGTGCTCATCTCTGTTACAAAGCTGAAGAGCCAGCGCTGTCCGAAGACGTCTCCGTGGTCATGTGGCCAGCAGGACTAAACGCCGAAGGTGTATGGAGGAACACTGTTACCTTCCCACCAAAGGAGTCCCTATTTTTCTACTTGCATTTTACATGCTTTCGAACTGCTAGTAATACTTCACCTGATCTTGATTCTATGCCTCTGTTTATACAACCCAGGATTGTATTAGCTTTAATTTAGAATTAAAATTTGAAGAATTTTAGTTCTTCAAAAGAAAGGATTGAACATCAAGCAGGTGGGATGGAGTCCATTTTTTTTAGTACTTGGTCGAAAGATAATCCTTGACTTACCTTTCATTTGTTTAACAACCTTCCTTCCTTCCCTCTCTTCCAAATGCCCTTCTTCTTCTTCCCTTCTTCCAGGTTGGGAAAGCTGCAGGAAGCCAAGTTCAGCTGTCCCATCAGTCCTTTGGGCGTCCTCATGGCCTCCTTCCCAGTAGCCCCACGCTACGCCAAGATGCTGGCCTTGAGCCAACAGCATCACTGCCTGCCCTACACCATCGCCTTAGTCTCGGCCTTGACGGTGAGGGAGCTGTTTGAAGAGTTCAACAGGTAAAGCCACGGCGGGGCTACCGAGAAACTCAGTGGTCTTTATGGGCTCCAACCTGGTTTGAGGATTTAAAAAAACACTCTTCAAAATGGCACCGATTTGTCCATGGATTTGGAAGAGTTTAGTCATTTTAGTCATTGCACCTCATACAACAAAATCGAATACCATCTTCAAGTGTAAAATTTACGACTATGAAAATAAGCACAAACACACATTCTCACACTCCACACATTGAATTGAAAACCCCTGATATCGCGTTAATATTGCACTATGGGATAGAAGCTGTTTTTCAGCCTATTTGTCCTTGTTTTTATTATTCTGTACCGTCTGCCAGATGGTAATAGTTCAAAAAAAAAGGGTGCCCAGGATGAGATGGATCTTTGAGGATATTTTGAACTTTCTTAAGGCAGCGGGAGCTCTAAAGCTCTTCCAAAGAGGGGAGAAGGCAACCCATGATCCTCTGGGCAATGACATTCACCCTCTGGAGTGCTTTCCTATCTGCCCCTGTGCAATTGGCAAACCATACAGAGGTGCAGGAAGTTAAGATAATCTCTATGGTGCAGCGGTAGAAGGTCACCAGCAGTTTTTCATTTCAGTTGTTGTTTTCTGAGAAGTCTCAGGTAGTATAATCTCTGCTGGGCCCTTTTGGCCAGGGCTGCAATGTGAGCCCCCCAGGTCAAGTCCTCTTTTAGGGTAACACCCAGAAACTTAAAACTGGCCACTTGCTTCCCTCGGTCTCCATTGATAAGCCAGGGCTGGATGTCTGATCTGTTCCTTCTATAGTCCACTATAAGCTCCTTGGTCTTATTGGTGTTGAGGACCAAGTTATTGTCTCCACACCACGAAAGCAACCATTGGTCCACCTCATCTCGGCAGGCAGACTCATCCTCCCTGGAGAGGAATCCCACCACTGTTGTATCATCTGCAAATTTAGTAATATGGTAGAAAGAAACATCAGTTTTTTTTCTTTTGGAAAGTTTGATAAAGCTAACTGAGAACTTGACACTTAAGATTCCTCCAATTATCGCATATTCCTTCTACATTTCACTCTCCCCTCCTCTAAAACATTCGTTTTCCACCCAAAATCAGTAACTAGGGACATTTCTGTGGCCTGCATGATGGAACGATTGTTTCATCGAATCCTTCATTTATTCTTTTTTTTTTTTAAATGCAGGCCTGCCCTGAATGAAGAAGATCATGAGAACCTGAAAGGGAAGAGAGCCCGTATGGCACAGATGCAAAGGGTTTGGGCTGGCCAAGGACCTTCCCAGAAGCTGGGAGATCTCATGGTGATGCTTGGTAAAACTGATCTATCTACTTGTCGGTTGAGTTGGGGGATGTAAACTTTCAGTGGGTCAAGGGTTTCCATCAGAAATAAGAGACCCCCCCCCCCCATGATCACTTGAAGTGTTAGTACCACTTTATAAGTTTATAAGTCACCACACGATTAAAAAGATGCTGAGACTCTAGAAAGAGTGCAGGGAAGAGCAACCAAGAGGATTAGGGAACTGGAGGCTAAAACATATGAAGAACAGTTGCTGGAATTGGATTCAGGTTTAATGAAAAGAAGGATTAAGGGTGACATGATAGCAGTGTTCCAATATTTGAGGGGCTGCCAGAAAGAAGAAGGGGTCAAGCTATTCTCCTAAGCACCTGAAGGCAGGACAAGAATCAACGGGTGGAAATTAAGCAAGGACAGAAGCAGCCTAGAACTAAGGAGAAATTTCCTGACAGTGAGATGCTGTTATTCCGTTACTCCAGGAGCCGTGGGGGCTTGTGAGTATGCAGGATGCACTCCTCATTTCTGTAGCTCCAATGGCCTGCGCTACAAGGCCATGGTGGAAATCTGGCGGCTGCGCGGGCAGCTCACCACGGCAGGTAAGACTCCACACCTGCTGTCTTCCTTGGGACCTGCTCTTCCTTGTCTTGGGAGGATCATTCAGGTGGGGCCACCTCTGTCCATCCTTTGACTCTCACAATCTTGGTATGTGTATGTGTACCAGTGATGAGGATTCAAACACTTTTTTTAAACTGCTGGTCCTGTGGGCGTGGCTTGGTGGGCATGGCAGGGAAAGGATACTGCAAAATCCCCATTCCCTCCCCACCCCACTAACCTGCTTTCCAGCTCTGTTCTCCTGTGCAGGGCAACCAAAGGAGACCCAGCCGATCAGCTGGGACTCAGGAGGAGAGAATAGATGGGGTTGGCGGGGCCAGTCAGAGGTGGGATTGGCCAGTCCTCCGAACTACTCAACAATTCCGCTACCGGTTCTCCACAACCAGTCAGAACCGGCTGAATGCCACCTCTGATGTGTGCGTATGTTCCTTTCCAAGTGAATGCCGTTTGCCCGGGTTCAGAGCTCTTCGTTGACCCCCAAATGAAGCCCCCCACAGAAGAACAGGCCACTTTCTTGAGGCAGATTGTCCTGGCCGGATTGGGAGATCACGTCGCCCGAAGGATCCAGGCGGACGAACTCCTTGATGAGAAGTGGAAAAACGGCTACAAGGTCTGCCTCTCAGACTCCTTTTTAAGTGCCAGCAGTTTGCTTCTGGAATTCATTTAATCAATGTTATGTACAAATTGGAAGAAAAAAAATAGAACAACCCAGTGTGTTGAAACACGGACAGATGTAATTGAAGCCATCTCTAAAAGTAGAGGAAACAAATTAAGAAACTAAAATAGGAAGGAAGGAAGGAAGGGGGGGGGAGGGAGGGAAAAGAATGAAAGAATAAAGAGGGAGAAATAGACGAGGGGAGAAAGGAAGGAAAAAGAAAGAATAGAGAGGAATAAGGGAGGGAAGGAAGGAAGAAATAGAAGGGAGGGGAAGGAGGGAGGGAGGAAAGAGGATGAATGAAAGAAAATAGAGGGAGGAAGGAATAGGGGAGGGAAGGAAGAAAGGAATAGAGGGAAGGAGGAATAGAGGGAGGGAAGGAAAGAAGGGGAAAAGAAAGGAATAAAGGAATAGAGAGAGGAAGAAAAATGTTCCTCGTATGTTATACTTAATAGTTGCTGGTTTACTAATAGATATCATAAAGTAATATAATACGATAAGTAGGTAGTATTGTTGTAAAATGTCACATAATCTTTACAGAGGACTTTTAGCTGCATAGATGAGGTTCCTGTTGGTTGGCGCTAGATGGGAATTTTTAATTCTTTCTTTTCTTTTCCTATTTCTGCCCTCCCTCCTTCCCTCTCCCACCCCTCCCCCAATTAGACACCACTGCTGGACGATCCGGTCTTCATCCACCCCAATTCCATCCTGTTTAAGCAGCTCCCGGAGTTTGTGGTGTATCAGGAAATCGTTGAAACCACCAAGATGTACATGAAAGGTGAGCGGGCGCCTCTTTTCCCTTCCTTGCCTTCTGTGTGTGTGTGGTTTTTTTTTTAATATTCCTTTAAGAAAAGAATCTACACCAGGGGAGAGAAAAGACCAGCAGTGAGCTGCAAATTTTTTAACAACCGGTAGGCGGGGCCAGTTGGTCATGTGACTGGGTGGGTGACATCACTCGTCACACCCAGCCCCGCCTCCTGGCCACTCGCCTCAAAGGAAGAGGTGGGATTCAGCCAATTGGGGCTAATCCCACCGCTGGATGGTCCCGCTCCCACCTGATTTTTTGGCCAGTTTTGGGGCTGTTTTCAGCCGTTTTTCAAGCTGTTCTCAGGCTGTTTTGGGGGCTATTTTCAGGTCATTTTCAGGCTGTTTTTGGCCCAAAAACAGCCCAAGAAACTGCATGAAAACGACTCAAAAACCAGAGTGTTTTGGGGCCAATTTCAGGCAGTTTTTTCAGGCCATATTTGTCCCAGAAAATAGCTTGAAAATGACCTGATAAACAGCCTGAAAATGGCCACAAACCCAGGCCATTTTCAGGGTGTTTTGGGGGGCGTTTTTGGCCCAGAAAACAGTTGAAAAATGGCCCCAAAATTCCCCCAATATTGCCTGGGTTTTGGGCCATTTTTCAGGCTGTTTTTCGGGCCGTTTTCAGGTCGGTTTTGGCCAAAAAATGGACGGGGTGGGGCCATCCAGGGGTGGGATTTGCCAGTTCGCTGAACTGTGCCGAATCCTTACTACCAGTCTGTCTAAACCGGTGCAAACCGGCAGCAGCCCAACTCTGGAAAAGACACCTCCAAATAATCCGAAAATAATATATTGCAACCATATTAGCTTAGGAAATTATCATTTGTATTGTGTCACTTTTTAGCCGATCTAAACTCCTGCTTTCTCCCAATGTTTCTTTTCTGGCTTGTCTCCCTTCTGAAGGGATTTCGGCAATTGAACCTGAGTGGATCCCTCTTCTCCTGCCCCCCTACTGCCATTTTGAAAAGCCCCTGGAAGAGCCGCCTCCATTTTGCTGTCCCAAAACTGGCCATGTCCGTTGCCACAGGCCCAGCGTCTTCTGTAAGTCTGCTTTTCCCCAGGAAATTAAATTATCTTTCTTTCTTCTCCTTACCAGTCCGCCACAAAAGCAACGGAAGTTCAGTTGCGATTCTGTTACCTTTGGGCAAATCCTGCTTGTGTGCCTCGGAACCACTTTCTATATTATTGTGCAAGTGGTCCTTGACTTACGACTGCAAGTCAGGCCAAAATTTGCACTGCTCAACAAGACAGTTGTTAAATGAATTATGACTTGTTGAGCGAATCCCTGTAGCAATTAAGTTATTATTATTATTATTATTATTATTATTATTCATCGCACAGTCAGCCAGATGTTCAGACTGGGTTTGGCATTTTTGTCTACCTATCGAGTCCTTACCCAGGACCTGGGATAAGCGAATATGGAAGTTTAATGGCGTTTACAAATCTCGCCGCTGGATGGAAGCTGTTCCAAGTAAAGCTGCCTTCTGCAATTGACTGATGGCAAATTAGTCAATGCCATTGATGGTGTTCAAGTGATGCGCCAGTTGTTTTGGAACTGCACCCACCCAAGTACTATTGGTACTACCCTTGCATACCTTTGCCACAGTCGTTTCATTTCTATTTGTAGGTCTTTGTATTTTGTTATCTTCTCCAGTTCTTTCTTTTCTATTCTGCTGTCTCCAGGCATTGCCACATCCACTGTCTAGACTTTTTTGTCTTTCTTATCGACAACTGTTAAGTCCGGAGTGTTATATGGTAGGTGCTTGTCTGTCTGGATTCTGAAGTCCCAGAGCAATTTCACTTATTCATGTTCTATGACTTTTTCTATTTTATGGTCCCACCAGTTCTTGCTTACAGGCAAATGATATTTCTTGGAGATCTTCCAATGCACCATTGTTGTGACTTTGTCATGCTGCTGCTTGTAGTCAGTTTATTATTGTTATTGTTATTATTAAATCTTTAGTGAGATTCACAGCCTTCAACTGTGAAGTCCTAACCAAGGACCTAGGAACTGTTCAGGTAGCGTCGGAGGATATAAGCTGTTCCAAGTAGGGTGGTTTTTTTGTAGAATCAGGGTATTCAAGTCTGATAAATTCAGAATTTCCAAATAGTGAGGTAGCCCTTTAGGTATTGCTCCAAGGGCTCCAATTGGGATAGCACACGATTTCTTTTTCCAAAGTCGCTCAACTTCAATTTGTAAGTCCCGATACTTTGTGATTTTTTCTTGCTGCGTGTCTACAATTCGTGCATCACCAGATATTACAATGTCAATGAACCAATGTTTTTTATTATTATTATTATTATTATTATTATTATTATTATTATTATTATTATTATTATTATTATTATCTTTATTAACTTTATTAACTTTATTCATTAAACATGATACACAGTCAACTGAACAACAATGTATCACAAATATCATTGATATTATTATTAGCTCTTTTATTCATTAAACATGCAATTCAGTCACCTGAACATTCAACAATGCATCACAAATAGTCCACCTGTGGCCTTACTCCCATGTCGACCCTGAGTTCATAATTGTGCCTTCCTTTTGGCAGCTCTGTGCATGCGCAGGCTGGGAACTGGCTCCAGCTGCTCCTCCGCCTCACTGCTGTCTGAGCCCGAAGGCAACTGATGACTGCCAGCCTGCCCTGGCCCCATCTCTGCCTCTGATGCGGAGCCCTTGTCCGAGCCTTCCTCAGCCTCCAGGACCTGCCCAACCTCCTCACTACCGTCCGACTCTGCTGCCGGCTCCACCAGCCACCGGCGGGCCACAACATACCTGTATATTCGTTCAGCTCCCTTCTCTTCCTACAGATCGGGTCGGTTGGGCGCTTCCTGCGGTGGAGGTTGATTATCCCGAAGGCCTTGATCGTTTCAAACATTTTGCCAGGTTTCTCCTGGAAGGAAAGGTGAGTGCCAGCCTCGCTTTTACAGCCAGTCCTCAACTTACGACCACAATTGGGACCGGAACTTAGAGCACTAAAGCGACGCAACCTTAAAGCGAGTTGTCAATACGATTGCACCCAATTTTATGGCCTTTCTGCTGTGGTCATTAAGCGAACCTGGGAATGGCGATCATGTGGCCCCAGGACCCTGCAACTGTCAAATGCAGTCATAAGAGTGAGAATTGGTCGTAAGTCCATTTTCAGCCCCATCGTAACTTCAAATGGTCTCTGAACCAATGGCCATAAGACGAGGACTGTATCTGTATCTCGTCCTCTGCCATGATCCGTTGCTGTTTTAGACTTTCACTGAATTTTAAGCATTTTCCCCAACCTTAGACCCGCCCGTTAATTGCATTCGACTACAAATACCAAGTTCTCCACCCAGCAGTAGCCAAATTAGCTGCACATGGGAGTTGTGATCCAGCAACAACTAAAAGGCCATTAATTTCCTACTTTTACATTTTTTTAATCATTTTTTTTTTTTTTTTTTGGAGACTGCGTTTACTTGGATATGAATACAGCAGCTTAAGAAGTTGGTGACGAGTGATTGAATAAATTCAATAAATTCATCAGGGTGTCGAATTCACAAATAAATAGATTAATCCAGCGGCTCTCTTTTCTTTTTCCTAGGTTGTGAAATTGTTGGCGGCTTACCGCCGTTGCCTGCTGTCGAGCCCAGTCACGATGCTGAAGACCTGGTCCAAGTAAGTTGTGAGCTTTCTCTCCTCTACTTGTGTATGGGGTGTGAAAATTGTGTATCTGTCTCTTTCCACACCAGAGAGCCAGGGACCTGTTACATTTGCTCCCATGCTTACCTTTGATTGAATCAGAATCAGAATAGAGCTGGAAGGGCCTGGGAGATCATCTAGTCCCGCCCCCTGCTCAAACAAATGGCTATCCAATCTATTTTTAAAAACCTCCAGTGACTTCTGGTGGCGAGCTGTTCCACTGATTAATTGTTTCCACTGTTAGAAAGTTCCTCCTTAATTCCAGGTTGCTTCTCTCCTTGATTAGGTTCCATCCATTGTTTCTTGTCCTGCCTTCAGGTTTTTGGAGAATAATTTGACCCCCTCTTCTTTGGGGCAGCCCCTCAAATACTGGAAGACTGGCTATCATGTCCCCCCCAGTCCTTCTTTTCTCTAAACTAGCCAGACCCAAATCCTCCAACTGTTCCTTATTATGTTTTAGCCTCCAGGCCTTTAATCATCTTAGTTGCTCTTCTTTGCAACTCTTTCTAGAGTCTCAATATCTTTTTTGAAATGTGGTGACCAAAACTGGATGTTTCCAGGTGTGGCCTTACCAAGGCTTTATAAAGCAGCACTAATACTTCACGTGATTTTGATTCTATGCCTCTGTTTATACAACCAAGGACTGTATTAGCATTTTTGGCTGCTGCCGCACACTGATTGATCAAAAGTTGGTTTTATTTGCCCCTTTGGATTGATTTTCCTTATAGACTTCAGCCCAGGACAGAATCTTTGCTTCAAGCGCTCGTTTCTGAAAATGCTGATAACCGGGACACTTTACAGCTAGCCTGGAAGAAAAATCCAAAATGTAAGCATTAAAATTAATTTTTTTTAATTGTTCAGTTTGTTTTTTTTAATTTATTTATTCTGCCACTAAAGACTTGTTTTATAACCTGTGGTCATTGGGAATCACGATTGCAAGCTAAATTCAGGAATGGAAACTTTTAATCACAGCAGACTGACAGCTCACTCCTTTCTCCAATTTTAATCTTCTCCTTTCAGATTTATTGGCTGAATATTGCCAGTGGGTTCCAGAAGTCACTCACGAGGGAATTGCTAAAATGTGGCCTCCGGTGCATTGATGCGGTGAATGTTTGAGCCAGGAACTCTCCAGCTTGTGTTCTTCCCGAAAAGCCCATGAAGATTTTCCTGGGGAAAAGCAAGATCCGTAATTGCACAAGGAAAGGGAAGAAAGATTAAACCTTTCTTCATTTGTCATCCCAAGGGGCAACGTGTGCAATTTGTGACCTGCAAAGGAGCACAACACGTGATATTTGCGACCTGCAAAAAATAATAATCGTGCAGATGTTCAGCTGTGCTGAATGCAGCAGCTGTCCAGTGAACAAAAACAATGCACATCATTTCATACAAAAAAAATTCAGAGTTTTCCAACCTTGGGAACTTTTTAAGACTTCAACTCCCAGAATCCTCCAGGCTTCTCTTGAGAACAGACTCTATGGCTGCTCATCCAATATTTCTCAACCTGAGCACTATTTTAAGAAGTTTGGACTTCAATTCCCAGAATTCCCCCAGCTAGCAAAGTTTGGGAAACCCTGGATTTCAGTGGCAAGGATCTTGCATTCCATTAAGCAGCATTTACGTTAATCATGGTTTTCTGGCTAAGCCACGGTGATTATGTTTTCCTCCAGAAACCTGGCTTAAATATACGTCCCAATAGGTTGGTTCACACAAATAACCTGAGCCACAAACATAAAGATTTAGCAGAGTAGAGCATATATGCTCTTTATAAATTTCAACCAAACAACTAACTACAGTTATTCCAAGTTTTGTAAGAGATAAATGTCAAGAAAGGGAATATTCTAATATGCCACCTCATATTGGAAAAAAACCTATAGTTTTGAGTATCTTTTTACCTATTTCTTTACATTTAAAAGACACTCATCATGGCATTTTTCAGTTTGTATCCACAGGGTGCCACAGCTATTTGTAAATAGCTGAATGAACATTTGCTGTTGGTGTTTGGTTATTTATTTTCCTTTGTTTAGACATGCACACCATCCAGAGGTTTTATTCTGAATGCTTGTGGCTGGTGCAATGAGCAGATTTTTCTTTCCAGATATGGTTGCTTTCTATCCCAGTTGCAGTTGTAAAAATGTCCATGGAACAACTCCAGTTTTTTTTTTTGGGGGGGGGGGGGGGGGTTGATCATCCAGTTGGAAAGAATGAAGTCGAATGGATTTACTTGGTATCCAGTGCCTCTTGTAAAAACAAAAAAAAATTACAAATATAAGAAGACGGATGGATGTCTTGGGGAGGGAAATCTCCTAAATTTTCCTATACCTCTTCTGGCCTTAAAAATCCCCTATAGTAATTATTTAGAAAAACAACGGAAGCATTTCCTGTTCGTATTTGGATATCACCCCAAAGGGTTTTCTGAAATAAATTGGTTTTCATCCAATCCACTGGTTCAGCCATTCCTTGGCCAATAACAGCGTTATATATTCATTCATTGACGTTGCTGGCAATCACCTGCTTGGGTGGGTGGTGGGGGTTTGGACTAGATGACCTCCAAGGTCCCCTTCCAACTCTGTTATTCTATATTCAGTGGAACAGATTCTGCAACCATTGTAAATAGCAGAATTTCCGCTGCTAAGCAGTGCTGTTGCAAAGCAAGCCATGCCCAGTTTTATTTCTTTGGCGCCATTGTTCAGTGGAGCACTGCAGTTGTAAAGGCCCAGACTCTCTCCCCTTCAAACGATAAGAATGAGCTTTTGAAAACTGGGTATTTCAAAAGGAATTCTTTATTGAAAACGAAGACAGCAAGTCCACATTCAAAGAAGGATCTGATATCCTTCCAAGTATGCAGCATAGATAAAGGAATAATATAGATAAATAATATAGATAAACATAGATAAAGGACCCTCCCCTTATTCCGGTGTGGATTTTGTCAATACAAAGAAGCAACATGTTAATTTCCTCCCTTTTTTTTTCTGGGAACGTAGTTGAGAAAAGATTCCCAGGAAGTTTCTTTCGGAGCTGGAATTTTTATGGCCCCTTCTCCTCTTGCTATCTCTCCAGTGGTGGTATTCTTAACAGTTCGGTCCGGTTCTGCAGAGCCGGTAGCAGCGATGAGCAGCGGAGACCGAACCAGTTCTCTCAGGGGCTCTGCTGTTGGGCCCACCTGCCCACCTGGGCTCTCACGCTCACCTTTATCCTCTGAATTTGAAGCGCAGCTGCTTTGGCCGCACAGCAGCTGCTGAAGCAACTGGGATCGTGCAAGGCTTGCAGGCAGCAAGTTAGAACACCTCATGCGGCTGCGCAAACGCCCCTGCGCAAAGTGCGCATTTGGCGTGCACGCAGCGCGCACGCACGCAAAGCGCGCCCACTAAGCCACGCCCACTGAACCGGTGGTAAAAAATATTTGAATCCCACCACACTATCTCTCCAAGAGGGGACAAGTTTCCAGGCCTCTGGGCTCCAGTCCCCAGTTGTATATTGTGTGCAAGTTATACAGATTCAATACAAGAATTAAGATATTCAGGTTACATTAAAAAAAGGGATTACTTGTACCAACCGCCCCCCTTCTTCCATTGAAGAATGGCAGATACACGGATCTGACAGCAGCGGTTAAAGAGAATCACGTTAAGAGGCTTCCTGGACATGTCAGAAATGGTGTAGGTTCTCCTGCTTGAGCAGGGGGTTGGACTTGATGACCTCCAAGGTCCCTTCCAAGTCTGGCATTCTATATTCAACGGAACAGAACTTGCCTTCAGAAGTTGTGGGAGCTTCATCCCTGGAAGCTTTCAAGAAGAGACTGGACTGCCATCTGTCAGAATTGGTGTAGGGTCTCCTGCTTTCATTGACATTGCTGGCCATCATCTGCTTGGGTGGGGGGTTGGACTAGATGACCTCCAAGGTCAATTCCAACTCTGTTAATCTGTATCTAGATTCCTTGACCCCGGCATGCTGCACCATCGTAAATACATGCCCAGTTGCCAAATGCCCAAATTTTGAGCCCACGAATGTGGGGAATGCTGCAACGGTTGTAAGTGCGAAGACCGGTCCTAAATCACTTTTTCCAGCGCTGTTGTAACTTGAGCAGTCACTTAAACCAATGCTAAGTCAAGAACTACCTATAATGGGATGCAAAAGAAGAAGTTGGATCAGTTGGCTGAATATTGAACATCCATTTGTCCTTAGATGGCGTAAGAACTCCTGCCTCGGGCAGGGAGTCGGACTAGATGACCTCCAGGGTTCCTTTCAGCCCTGGGATTCTATGGTTTATACAGGTAGTCCCTGACTTAAAAACAGTTCATTTAGTGATGGTTCAAAGTTACAATGGCACTGGGAAAAAATGACGTACAACCATTTTTCACAGTTACGACCTTTGTGTCATCCCCATACTCACCGGATCAAAATTCACATGCTTGGCAGCCGATTCATTTTATGACCGTTGCTGTGTCCCTGGGGTCCCCTTTTGTGCCATTCTGACAAAGTCCAGAAACGGTGTAAGGCCTCCTGCTTGGGTGGTGGGTTGGACTAGATTACCTCCAAGGTCCCTTCCAGGTCTTGTTATTCTACACTGCTCAAAAAAATAAAGGGAACACTTAAACAACACAATGTAACTCCAAGTCAATCACACTTCTGTGAAATCAAACTGTTAGCAAGACATCCCCAATAAAGGAGTGGTTCTGCAGGTGTTCACCACAGACCACTTCTCAGTTCCTATGCTTTCTGGCTGATGGTTTGGTCACTTTTGAATGCTGGCGGTGCTTTCACTCTAGTGGTAGCATGAGACGGAGTCTACAACCCACACAAGTGGCTCAGGTAGTGCAGCTCATCCAGGATGGCACATCAATGTGAGCTGTGGCAAGAAGGTTGCTGTGTGTGTCAGCGTAGTGTCCAGAGCATGGAGGCGCTACCAGGAGACAGGCCAGTACATCAGGAGATGTGGAGGAGGCCGTAGGAGGGCAACAACCCAGTATCAGGACCGCTACCTCCACCTTTGTGCAAGGAGGGTCAGGAGGAGCACTGCCAGAGCCTTGCAAAATGACCTCCAGCGGGCCACAAATGGGCATGTGGCTGCTCAAACGGTCAGAAACAGACTCCATGAGGGTGGTATGAGGGCCCGACATCCACAGGTGGGGGTTGTGCTTACAGCCCAACACCGTGCAGGACGTTTGGCATTTACCAGAGAACACCAAGATTGGCAAATTTGCCATTGGTGCCCTGTGCTCTTCACAGATACAAGTAGGTTCACACTGAGCACATGTGACAGACATAACAGGGTCTGGAGACACCGTGGAGAACGTTCTGCTGCCTGCAACATCCTCCAGCATAACCGGTTTGGCAGTGGGTCAGTAATGGTGTGGGGTGGCATTTCTTTAGGGGGCCGCACAGCCCTCCATGTGCTCGCCACAGGTAGCCTGACTGCCATTAGGTACCGAGATGAGATCCTCAGACCCCTTGTGAGACCATATGCTGGTGCGGTTGGCCCTGGGTTCCTCCTAATGCAAGACAATGCTAGACCTCATGTGGCTGGAGTGTGTCAGCAGCTCCTGCAAGACGAAGGCATTGATGCTATGGACTGGCCCGTCCGTTCCCCAGACCTGAATCCAATTGAGCACATCTGGGACATCATGTTTCGCTCCATCCACCAATGCCACGTTGCACCACAGACTGTCCAGGAGTTGGGGGATGCTTTAGTCCAGGTGTGGGAGGAAATCCCTCAGGAGACCATCCACCACCTCATCAGGAGCATGCCCAGGCATTGTAGGGAGGTCATACAGGCACGTGGAGGCCACACACACTACTGAGCCTCATTTTGACTTGTTTTAAGGACATCAAAGTTGGATCAGCCTGTAGTGTTTTTTTCCACTTTAATTTTGAGTGTAACTCCAAATCCAGACCTCCATGGGTTGCTAAATTTGATTTCCATTGATAATTTTTGTGTGATTTTTGCTGTCAGCACATTCAACTATGTAATGAACAACGTATTTAATGAGAATATTTCATTCATTTAGATCTAGGATGTCTTATTTTTGTGTTCCCTTTATTTTTTTTGAGCAGTGTAGATATCCATGGGGAAGCCAGGTTCACTTCACTGCTGGGTTCCTAACTTATCAACTGCAATGATTTCCTTAGCAAACAAGGCAAGAAAAGTCTTAAAACGGGGGCCAAAACTCAAAGTTAACAAGCTCCTCACTTAACGACAGAAATTTGAG